GTTTATAAAATAATGACTTTAAAAAATGTAAATGATGACCAAACAAATATCTACTTATAAATCACAACACTATCGATACACGTGCTGTCGTTAGACAAAGACAACTACTGTAATTTACGTAATGAGTGAAAGGGACATTTTAAAAGACATCAACTTGTGCTTAATTGTTATCACTTTGCACCATTAGATTACCAGTATAAGTTGAACTCCAGTGCATTTGAAATAGGTTAAAGTGATAAGAATAGAATTTACTTACCTTAGTTACCTACTTTGATAACTGAATGTCTAAGCTGACTTGCCACACTATTTTACTGCATAGGAAGCTATTTCTAATGTATTTTGGATACAAGACTATTTTAAATTGTCAAGAACTCGGACGTGCCTACGGGTCACTACATTGGTCGACACTGATATCGTAATTCTTAGCGTTACTTCGTATGCTAGCTACAGCAAGCATATGTTGCGCGCATTTGTGGCCCTGTATGCGGAATCTATTAGGAGGTTATCTGTGTTTGAGGTCCACATAATTTACCGTAAGTGTAAATCTCATCAATCCCGCTCAATGGCAGCCCCTCCTTAGTTGCTGACTTCTCCTCCCGTTTTCATTCTCAGATAAGGCACACCAGAAACAAGCCACACTGCCATTCGCGTCCTCTAACTCCACCTGCACTATGGACTCCCCGAGCCCGATATGTGAATGGAGCTAGGGAAAACTATCACTTGGAAGCATCAAGTGGTGCAACCTCACCAAAGTCGCGAAAGATAGTAGAGTGGCGCATTGCCAATCGCCATACCAACACTCCTCTTCCCTTACGACTCCACCTCGACTACAGCGGTACAGGGAGAGGTCGGGCTGACATCATCAGGTGACCTTTCGACACTTGACTGTGGCCCTTGAGTTTGGTTAAAAATGAGGAAAGAAGAAATAAAAAACATTCGAAATAATATTCTAATACTTTTGTACTTACTCGTACTGGTACTACCAGAAAATATAGTCGGTATACTGCACTTTTTCAAAGTGGTGCAGTTCTTATGTCTAATAAAACAGTCGTCTGTGAAATGTTTGGAACAAATATGATCATTTTGTTTCGGACGCCAATTCACTATATTTATATTTTTAAGCCATAATTTTAATCTAGGTTCAATTGGAAACCTGTTAATTAATAAACATTTGATAATCGTCTGTTGTTGGCGACTTTGTTTGTTAACAGATATGGGTAGGAAAGCACATCGATAAGTATTATAGACAAGGAACTCGACAACCCTATTGAATTTTATATTTTATCAAAACTCAATAATATACAGCCAAAGATGTTTGTACATATGATATCAAGATTAGTAACAAATTTTTAAGTACTTATATTATCAAATAGTTTTAATTTGCTTAATATTTGCTGCAAATTCACTTACTTCTGAAATGTTATAACACTTCCCTTTCGGTAAACAGTTTTATAGATTACGCACACTCTCATTATTAATAAATACAATTTTTATTATGTAACTAATATTATACACAATCACACAACATAAAATACTTTCGTTTTTTTTTTAGTTTAAAAGTTCAAAATACAGATTTATTAAATAAGACGATTTTAAATATGACAACAGACTTTGGCATATTATGTCAATTTTATTTTTCAAGACATCCTATAGCGGCGCTTCAAATTGGCACTGTCATTTTCTATGGTATAACCAGTCCAGCGTACTTGTATATATAGTCAGTGGAAACACTTAATTTAAAAGTATTTTGCATTTGTATTCCTGATACTTAATTTAAGGTATCTTGTACGAGTACATCACTGCTCCAGAGTAACTAATCCTCGAATAGTTTTACTCTTTGGTCTTACTCTCAGATAACTTCGTTTGCGTTTTTCCAACACAAACGTAGAGTAGCTAATACTAGATATTGTTACTCTAGAGTTGATGAACTAAGTTGGTTAATGAATAATGCATGGAGTACCTTTACACTCGATGGAATAATGAATGAAAATGTAAGTCAAATAAAATCGAAACACAATTGTTTATATAGCGCATTCCAACACTTTCTGTCCACTTATAGTTTGCTGGATTATAATAATAGTATCAAGTTTTGTTCTATTGATTTGAAAGCGGTCTCTTAGAAAATAAATTATAGGGTACTTGGATACATACCAATATTACGTTTAATAATAGGTCCTTACATATGAAATTGGCGTTTTGTACGGGAGGAATATAAAGTCAATATTTTTAAATATATTTAATTAATCAAAGTATGGACCGTTTTTATTTATGCACTTTGCCATCTCCTAGGTAGTTCATTGATCCCTTTACTAAAAAAAACTCAGCAGTCGACGCGTGTTTGCAAGTTCGATTCACTCAATTCATGAGCTACCCATCTTTCAAGTTTTTTTACTTTTCCGATTTGCTTCAAGTGGATCAATACAGTTTTATCACTTACCCCAAAGCCTGCAACTATCTCTGAAGTGATTTGTGATGGATCCTCTTCCACAATAGCTTTTAATTCTTCATTTTCCACTTTAGTCTCCGGCCGTCCACGGTTTGGTCCTGAAGGTCGAAATTTCAAGAACGAAAATGTTGAAAAAATGTACCGTGCTATTTTTTGCGACACCAGCGTCGTACACATCATTAATCCTTCGAGCTGTTTCTGCATCTCTGGTGCCATGGTACAACTCGTACTCGTAAATATACCGATATTTCATGTTTTCCATTGTGCGGTAATAAGCGACGCCAAAGAAAAATAATGAGAAAAAAACAAATGAATGACTGTTTTCAAAACTCAAATGTACCAGCTAAATGAACTTATAAATTTGAATTTGGAATTCTTAACCAAAAAGGAGATATTTCAGATCAAAGTGGTCAGTACGACAAAACGCTAATTTCATATGTAAGGACCAAATACTAGGAGTAAAAGTATTGTTGTGAATTCAGTGGATTTGGGTTCTTTGTTGACAAATGGTGAAGTCCAAAGTTGACAAATGTTCGTTTATTTAACAGAGTTTCAAAAGGTACCTTTTGAACGCTTTGATAATACTTGTTTTGTTGAACAAAACTCGACAAACAATCAACGGATTGTTGTTCAATACTTTACAATTTTCAGAATTACAATTTGGAGCACGTTTGCCTTTCGCCATCAAGTTTGGCTTTTTCCATAGAGTAGAGTAATATATGGCTTTGTTGCATGAAGTTATCAAAAAGTAGGCCTGCCAACTTAATTACACAAAATATGAGAACACATTATTGCTAACTTAGACTATATAAAACGAAAGTAAAGTGTGAAGGAGGATAGGATCAAAGTTGGTCTAGTTCAGGTCAGCTGTCAATTGATCAATTCTCAACAAGTATTCTGTGGTTTAATATGATTTATTTATTTATAATCAACATTATTTTGATAATTACGATAAATTCGGTCCATGTACGATAATTCTACGCCCCTGGTACAATAGTCAGCTCACTTCAACTTGCTAACGCTGCTCTTTGGTCCCTAATTGTTATAAAGGTACAACGTGTACTGGGCCGTTTTGTGTGTATTTGGCGTTTGCGGCAAACACTCGCCGACAAGCTAAATAGTGTCGGTTTTAGTGCACAAATCAAAGAAATTTGGCGCAAGCCGCAAACAGCGACCACACGTTGGCTGAGGAGGGTTTTAATGTATATGTATATAGTTACGCGTCGGAGTAGACAGTAGTGTCGGCTTAATAAAATTGTTTCACATACATGGCGACCTGAACTAATGATGAAATATTTAGGTTGATTGATTATTATCACAATGAATCAGTTATATGGAACCCCAAACATGAGCAACATACAAATAAAACCACAGTTAGTAACTTGCCTAACTGCATTAAAAGTAATACATCTTTGGTTGCGATTTCAGAATAACTACCTAATGTTAATTATTATTATAAATTATCTCTGAGTTTATTTTGCTCAGGGATAATGTAGCTTAGAGGATTCTTTTATTTTGGAAAAACGCCCAGCTAATCGGGCACGGGTCAGCTAGTAGATCCTATAAGGGTTTCTTTTTTCCTTTGAGGTCGGGACCCTAAAAAGGACAAACTGGGATTATTGTTCTATGTGTAGTTTTTTTCGATCGCCTAAACGTCCATCTTCATCTAGCTACCAACGCAGAATGAAACACGCCTACGTGTGAACGGCAACACTCGGCCAACGTGTACTGGAGCCTTAAGAGCATGAAGGTTAGAGAACAGGAGAACGATCACTGCGTAATAAAGCATAGCCCGCCTGTCCTTGAAAATTGTAGAATACACATAGCGGCGCTGACGACGGTGAGTAGTGACTGCGAAGTTAGCTGTTTATGAGTACAATTAGGTGAAGTTAGTTGAATATTGTACAAATTTTCATTTCATTTTATCGTAAAAAAATTTCATGCTCCGTAATTTTGTAATTTTTGACAAAAAGAAACATTAAAAAATGGAAAAATATTTTATTGTGGGTGGATGTACAAGTGGTTGAGCATCTGATCGAAAAAATAGACTGAAAATAACTTTTATTGACTGCACTTAGTGATCGCAGTGCCTCACTGATGGTGTCCATATTTCAGGGACACTATTTTCTACGGTGATCGTTCTCCTGTTCTCTAACCTTCATGCTTAAGACGCTTAAATGACTACATAACAAAGATATGACATATATTTCTATACTATATCTGTGTAATAGTCTGTGTTAGAGGAAAAGTGATTTTTGATTTTATTTTTATAAATATCAGTTGTTTAAATAAAGGTACTCTGTGTACACAGAGTAATTTTTTATATATTATATAGGAATCTGTGTATTTTTTGTTAACTGTGTTGTGATTATAACGGTTGACCTTACAATTTTAACTTTAATGATTATTCGGACCTAATATTTTAACTAACATAATTATAAACTGGCAGTTAGTACTCATAATGTATTAACCTAAGTTTTCATATTGTGCTGTTACGTGTAACAATTTTACTTTAGAGGTTATTGACTTTGTCTACAGTATATGCAATATAAAAATGAGAACTAATAAAAGAAACGACGATGATATGGCTGCAGCGGATGGAAATCTTCTACAACAACCGAAAGAAGAAACACAATCATCAGTCAGAAATCCGCTTATGAAAGTGAGAACCTACGTGCTAGCTTTACGGCCATGGTCTCTGAGTGGAAGCTTGTTGCCTACCTTATTAGGAGCAGCACTATCATATAGACTACCAGGAGAAAGTGGATTCAGTTGGGTGACGTTACTCCTCACGCTTTGTACAGTTATCCCCGTACATGGTGCCGGTAATGTTGTAAACACGTACTTTGATTTCGTAAAAGGAATTGATAACCGTAAATCGGATGATAGAACTCTTGTTGATCGTATATTAAGCATTGATGAAGTTGTGTCATTAGGAGCTATACTGTACATGGCTGGTTGCGCTTTCTTTTTGCTTTTAGTTATTTTGTCACCAGCCAGAATGGAACATTTGGCCTTAGTTTATTTTGGTGGCTTATCATCATCATTTCTTTACACTGGTGGCATTGGTTTGAAATATATAGCTCTCGGTGATATTGTTGTTCTAGTCATATTTGGACCAGTGGCTGTTGTTTTTTCCTTCTTAGCTCAGACTGGAAGGGTTGACTGGCCTATAATTTATTATGCAATACCTCTTGCTCTTAACACTGAAGCTATTTTACATAGTAATAATACTAGGGATCTTGAAATAGACAGTAAAGCCGAAATTGTAACATTGGCAATTTTAATTGGTAAAACTGCTTCATATTTGTTGTATGCATTTCTGCTGTTTACACCATATATAATGTTTGTAGTTGCATCTGTGAGGTGCTCTCTTTGGTTTTTGTTGCCTATGTTAACTTTGCCTCGAGCATTTGATATTGAAAGGAGGTTTAGATGCCCAGAAACAATGCAATATGTGCCACGGCAAACTGCAAGGTTGAATTTCTATTTTGGCATGTTATATATAATTACCTGTTTATTTGCATATAGATTGCCATTTCTTTCTTGAAACAAAGTTTGGACAATACAATAATAATAATAATAGATTATTATAATGTGTACTTATTAAACTTGTGAAGATTGGTGATGCACATAGACTGTCTTTACGATATTGACAAGCAATTTACATGCTTTGTGATTGAAAATTATTCATTTATACATAGTCAAAAATCAATTTAAAATATCAAGTCTTCTATATGTAGTGTAAGATGCGTATCTGTTTAATATTTTTTAGGCATTTCATATAGAAATATATTCATAAAATAAGAATAGAAATTTATTATTTTGGACCAAATAATAACAATACAACAGAACTACTTAATTTAATTTAGTTGAAAATATTTTCTTTTCTTAATAATGTTACTTTTCATTTACTCTCTTAAATTTATTATTTTCAGAAAAATTACTTTTCATAAAATTGCTCCATGAAAGCCTCCTTCTCACTCGTGCTTTTGAAATGCTGTAAAGACTGTTTGGATAATAACATATTATATATTAGATAAATAAATCATACAATAAATGTATGTAGTCTATTTCTGACACAGGAAAAAACAGATACCAATATTACCATTCCTGTTACGGCCTATTAGAGTCCATTGCTGAACTTAGGCCTCCCCCATAGATTGCCCTATGTTATATATATTTGCCATTGTTGCCTCCCTAGGCTAGTAGTGGATTGGCAGTTTTTTATTTTAGTTGTTATTAGGAAGACACTGTTGCCTATCTCCGGAGGCGACAGAGGGAAACAAACCATCTGTCGCCTCTTAAGACACCCACTGGAAGATATGGGGTAGTGAATAGTTTTACACCACCACTATGCTAATATTACTTGTATATATATTCTCGAGTAAAAACAAAATGTTAAGATTATGTATATTAATTATTGTGGTACCAGGTAGCTTTTCTAACTAAGAAGTGAGATAAGGAATGTGGGGGATTAGAAATAAAATTGTTGTGACCATACATATTGCTTGTAATTTCTGAGATGAGTAAATAAATGACATTGTATCTATTGTATTTTTATAATTTGTAACTATTTCTTATATATATAAAAAGGTGTGCTTCCTAATGAGTTATGTGTATACTAAGCATTTACTCTAAAGAATAAGTTAGTTAAACCTGCAGTTAAACCTGTAAATTTTAATGCCAACATTTAGCATAGTTTCTTCTATATAATGCACACTAAACTAATTCGTGTAATGTTTGTTTTGTTTAGTTAAAATATTATATACATAGTTTAGTTAAAAGTATTATTCCCATAACTTTAACATTGTTCATGAAAATATGTATTAAAGGTTGCTTATTCCATCAGTAGGCAGACTCAAAATCATAGAATACTATAATACATACATGATAGAATAGGGGAGTGGGCAGAGCCCGTGTAGCCACTAATATGTCACTAACAAGTCAATTCACACCTAAAAATGCCAATATAATCAATCGCTTACAATTTTTATGTCAAGCGTCATTGCATGCAAATTATTTAAAAAATGGCAAATTGTGCAATAAATACATGTCGAAAGAACAGCGGGAAATGGAATTTAAATAAAACAGACATATCCTACAACCAGTAAGTCGAAACCATTTATATTTTGTGAATATTAGAAACACAAATAAAGAAATTTTGATGTATCAAAAACATTAACCAAAAGTCTAAACTTTGTAAATTCGCTCAGTCTGTCAACACAGCGTATCAGGTTTGTAGTAGTGATAATACGACGTAATTGCTTGTATGTGTGCTCCTGGCGACACCGATCCTAGTACAAAATAAGGTTGACAGCCATTCTATTGTGTATTATAGTATTCTATGCTCAAAATCAATGTTTGTTTTTATTCCTGCCCAATAAAAGAGACCCTTTATATAAAGTAATTTGTAAATGGCAGCTATACTAATTGTTAGGAAAAGTTAAACATTACCTGGTATTCTTATATCATGAATAGAGTAAACCTGCTAACTTCACACATATCCAATTCCACTTTCTATAATAATAACATAAAATGATGACTTATCTTAATCTATTGCATTATCAAATTATTTATGAGGCATCCCCATTATGTATTGTTTAATTTTAGTAAATGTGTATCAGAATGTAACTTATCTTTTTGTTGATTTTTATTATATTTCTAAAATATAAAAGGTCTGCTTGAAACAAAACAAACATTTGTTGATAAATTTCATTGTAATTAATACTGCAAGAAAATATTTAAGCAACAGGATGTTGATTTTGCAAATGTTATGATGGATGTTGTTGATAACACGCTTCAGTCTATACATATGTAAAGCAGCTGACTTGTGACTGAAATGAATTGTATTTTTATAACATACTATAGTATCTTGCTTAATTCTTATCTGCTATATATTATGCAATGCAAAGATAATACATTATTTGTGATATATAACATTGATAATTGTTTGAATACGCACTAAACTTCATAAATGGTTATCAATTCGTATTCTTTAGGTCAAGTCACTATCAGTGACATTGTACATACTATAGAATGGAATATTTATTCATATCAAAAATGCTATAATTACTTTAAATGTTTTTGTATTTCTCTTAAATTTTCCTTGTTAAATATATGAACAATTGCTTCAAGAATGAATGTTTTGTTTACATATTAACATATTTTAAAGAATAGCAAAATATCTAATTGTAATCTCACTATTTCTACCTCTTTTTTTAGAAGAAAGATGTTAACTCAGCTAAAAGCTTTTTAATCTTTAGATTTCAAACCACAATATACTAGCATAAAATTTAAGTTTTGTAATTATTATAATTAGATCATAAATTGACAATAAGTTATTTATTCAAATTTTATATCAGTTTATTAATTATAGTGGATTTCATAACCACATGAGTTTCTTTTATTGCCATATTCATTGGGTAGGGGTAAAAATAAAACCAACCTTGCATGTTCTACTATAGTTTACTAAAATAATAACATAAGAGACCTTTATCATAGAATCTTCATCATATTATATATATAATGACAAATACTATTAAATTATCATACAAATGAGACCACAATATATCAAGAAACAGGTTTATTTAGGAATGGCCCTTTGCACTCTGTTTTGGCAGTGAGGAAAAAAAGTCTAAAATATTTCATACTATAGTTACTAAAAGATATAAGAACAGAATTGAAATTTACTGAAAAATCTAATTATTTGAGTCAACAAAAATTTTATACAAAATATAATCCACAAATTCATTTATTAATTAATATTATACATGAAAATAAGTTTAACATTCCATAAAATACCTACAGGTTTCACGTATTTAAATTTAAATCATTAGTTCCACTAATGAATGAACTTAACCAGCCTAAAAATCAATATTTTGTTATACAGTTATATAAAATGCACAATGACAATGTTGAAAACACTAACATTTTGTTATTACTTACTAATATACAGGATCAATCTCCCAGCCTCATTTCTAGGAATTGATTCTAACTTTGAATTATACAGTTAGGCCTCACAATGATGTCTTCATGTGATGTTAATATTACATAATGCTATCACACAAAGCAGCACAAGTTACTCTCCAACTTTCAAAAAACATACCTACATGGTCTATTATCCCATCATTTACTAGCATGCAATTCTAACAGTTTGACTACTTGATGAAATAATTTACTTACATATTAATATAAGTGCCAGTAAGTGTTATTCAATAATAAAAACTCTAAGAAGTGAATTAGATTCAAAATTTGTATACTGCCATAGTATGTGGTTTATCAGGAAAATTAGGTTTACTTTAACATATCAAACAAGTGAACTATTTCATTATTTCATGAACCTTAAATTTAATAAAAGCTGAGATAAAGGTACACTTATTCCTTGATACAAATTACATGAGATTTTTTTCAATATTTATAGACCAGATCATGATTTAAAAGGAATTCGTTTTGTTAAACAAAACTATTAAATACTATTTTTGATATAATAACACTTGCACTATAATTGGATGAATTCCCAATAAGCAGATGTTAATTTGTTTTAATTTCCTGAATGTTTCCTTAAAAACTGCTAGTGGTGTTTCAAAACAAATGTGCAATCTATCAGATTTATTGTAATTGAACAAAACTGGTTAATATAATGTAATTGAATATTTTTAATACGATCAAATTAATCAACTTTTTCTTGATTTCTTGTGATTAGAGGTTTTCTGGTATATGTGTAAGATTTTTCTGTTAATTAAAAATATAGGCGGATATGAACTGTCAAAAATGATCACATTCTAAATGTTAATTTGCATGTGAAATCCATCTATATAAAACACAAAACATGTTTCTACCCATGTCCATGTTATATAGACCGAAACCATCCAACCGTTTTTGATGAAATTCTTTGTGTGCGCTTGGATGGGTCTCTAGATGGTTAATATTCACATTTGGACCCGGTAGGTGCTGTTGTCGAGATCCATAAATCACCCGTGCGAATCCGGGCGGCTCCGTTAGTATATCATATATTACTGCAGTTAGGTTTTTCGTATTAAATAATAATTTACTTAATGACATTGCTAAAACAGTGAATGCTAGGCTTTTGCTATTCACTGCTTTATGATTTCGTTATAATGATTAATTCCAACATTGCACCGTTATTACAAATAAAATTTGGTACACATTGTATAGTTTAGCAGTAACCAGATTTGCTTCTACTAACACTATAGTAACTTGCTAATAATAATCTCACATTCATTCATTGGGGACAATAGTCCATTCACTGCTGGTATACCCAGCGTCTAGTCTATATAAGTATGAATTTATTACATTATATACATCAGACTTTAAAGTTGGCTTTGGACGCTTACGACAATTTCTTCTCGCGTTGCCACTGTATAATCCTCTCTTTGAGTTCTGAAGCTGAAAAAGAATGAAGGATGTTATAGTAATACGTAGTATTTTAATATGTAGTATTTTTATGTTGGTAAATAAAAAAATGACTGAATAAGTATTATGTAATAATCTATATTGAACAAAAATCATGCTATTCTATTTTATACAGGGCACACACTATACTAAACAACACCCTTATGCTACTATTTTGTAAGAGTAGTCCTTCCCACATGAATGTTGCTATCACGTATATCACATAAATTAAACAGTATTAGGGGAAACACTTTAAATTTGTGACAAAGCAAAAATATCAATACCTTTGTTTGGTAATTTTATACTATCGCGGTCACCTCGTTTTTAGGCTCTAGAAAACCCTTTGTTTCAATAAAATAATATTGATTTTTTGGTAGCAGCGATGGCTTTTTTTTAATGGGCATTAGTCTCTTGGAGTTATAGAGCAGGGAAAAAATCGCCATGTTAAAGTCTCAATGTGGGTTATGTGTAGGACTTCATGTATCATTAAAACATTTATTTCGACACACACCTGTTACAACGTTTTTATTCACGTCTGAGAGAATGATGTGATAAACCAATTAGAAAGATAAAACAACCGGTACCTAAGTTATATCGGCTGTGACGTGCTTAAACGATACAGGTGTCTGAATTAAGGGATGAATAATATAATCGAAATCCAAAAAACGTTAAGATTTTACTAAGTCCACTTCTGAACATAGGCCATCCCATTGCTTGCCTCATGAGACGACATTTGCCACAGTTCGCATACATCTTGCCAAGCGGAGTGGCAACCGCAGTTTTTTATTGTCTTACTGTTATTAAGATACTGCTGTCCATCCCCTGGTTAGTTTCCCTGTCGCCTTTTACGACAAGCATGGGACGATATGGAGCAGTGGATAGACTTACACCGCCCGATAAACAATTAGGTAAATGTTGACTTTTATCAGAAAAATATTAATTTGTACTCAAATTAATAATTTCTCATAAAAAAAAACAAACAAACAAAATATCCTATCTACATTATTAAAATATAATTAATATTTCGCTTAATTAGCAGATGAAACCGCGATAAAGACAAGCATTATGTTTACTTAATTTACAATTGATCACCACTATTAATCTTGTCTGGTAAGTATAATCGATTGGAAATTTTGTAGTTTAACTAAAATTAAAAGCAATAGCATCTATAATGATAGGTTGCCAAAACATCAGCTACACAATATAGGTAAAGATTTCAACGATAGTTACAGGCAATATAAGTCCCATGGCTGGACGACACAGGCCTCCTCTCATTCTGAGAGGGTTATGAAGCAATTAGCCCCTCCTGTTATTATTACTATTATATAATTAGTCCCTACGTTTTATTCCTTAGATATGCATGTTTTCTCACGATGTTTTCCTACACCGGAAAGCTTGCATCAGCAATTAAAATTGCAAATGGTGCAGGCGGAGAGCTGGATTGAAATTTAAGGTGAACAGTAAACCACTGAACTGCCATACCTGGTACCTTACTGTTCTGGTTGTCATATCATACAACCCAAGATAATATTTACCCGTGGCTAATATATGCTACTACTTCTTTCGCTTATATTTCTATATCTAACCCCCCAGCCACACACTCGTCGAGTGGCATGGGATAGAAGGCAAAGACGTAGTGTGGTGGCCACAATATTCGTTATGCCGCACGCCATGCCCATCGCGCCCTGTTTTGTCGGTTTTTTGGACGTGAGTGGCTGGCCAGTTGCCTCACACTCACGCAAACCGCAGTCAGAGTCGAGCGCCTTATTGTCGTTCACGAGACAATATCGGGAAGTGGTTTCCCTTAAACCACCACTGCCCGAATAAATGGACACTTGTGTTTTTTTCTTTTGCAATTTATTAACTAATTCAAAATATTTATGTACATAAACACTCACGCCTGTCACCCAGAGGGGTAGGCAGAGACTACAGACTTCCATTTAGCACGATCCTGACATACCTTTCTCGCCTCTTCCACATCCATATACCTACGCATACATGCTCGTCGGTTAAGGGTACTCTTAATTTGGCCCATTTTTATTATATCGCCAATTTGGTCGACAAACTTCCGCCTAGGACGTCCCTTTTCGACTCTTCCATTCACTTCTGCAACATATATTTGCTTTGTCAGTCTTTCCGCATTCATTCTTTCTACATGACCAAACCACCGAAGCATTCCTTTCTTAATCCTGGTCACCGCATCATCTTGCAAACCACACTCTTCTTTTATCACACAGTTTCTCACCCTGTCACTTAGATTCAGCCCTAACATACTCCTTAACGACCACATTTCTACTCCATTTATTCTACTCTCGTGCTTCTTCTGCCACACTCAACTTTCACTACCATACGTTAAAGTAGGGACTAATACAGCACTGTGAATTGCCATACGTGCATTTATTGACACATTCTGACTTTTCACAAGAGTGTAGAGCCCCATTTACTTTATTTCCTGCATTCACTCGTCGTTCAATGTCCTTACTACTGCATTTATTCTACTCTCGTGCTTCTTCTGCCACACCCAACTTTCACTACCATACGTTAAAGTAGGGACTAATACAGCACTGTGAATTGCCATACGTGCATTTTTTGACACATTCTGACTTTTCACAATAGAGTGTAGAGCCCCATTTACTTTATTTCCTGCATTCACTCGTCGTTCAATGTCCTTATCATATCTCCCATCCCTGCTGAATACACATCCCAAATATACGAACTCATCCACTTACTCAATTAACTCTCCTTCTATTCTTATTTCACATACCGTTTTGCTTTCATCTCTTTCAAAAACCATCACTTTCGTCTTACTTGCGTTCACATTCATTCCCCTTTCTTTTAATGACCTGTTCATTAATGTAACCATCATTTGCAACTCGGCCGCCGACGACGCAAGTATGACTTGATCATCGGCGTACAAAAGGCATTTGATGGTTAACTCACCCATTCTTAACCCGCATTCTTCAACTTTCAAATTTTCCAACCAGCTGTCCATAAATAGGTTGAACAGCCACGGGGAAGCTACACAGCCCTGTCTGACACCTTTATGGATGCCAAACCAGTCCGAGTAGACCCCGTTGATTCTAACACAAGCACTCGAGTCCCTATACAGAGACTTTAATGCCTGTATAAAACCAGCGCTCAACCTAAATGCTTTCAGCGTTTGCCATAACACATCCCTATCCACTCTGTCATAAGCCTTTTCCAAGTCCATGAACGCACAAAAAACTTTTTGGTTTTTTGCCAAAAACTTCTCCGCGATCATGCGCATGGAAAAGACTTGATCTGTACACCCCATTCCCTTTCTAAATCCCGCTTGCACATCCCAAATTTTTTCATCAGTTTCAAAATATTTATGTGTTTTTCTTATATCATGTTTAATGTCCATGTCACACCTATACCGGTAGTTGGGAGCACTAAGCTCGAAATTGTTGACGAGTACGATTATCTGGGACAAATAGACCGACTAGGCAAGTCCAACTTCGACCGAGAGGTCAATCGACGAATTCAACTCTGCTGGGCACCGTTCGGGAAATTACGACACATCTTCTCGTCAGGTATACCTCAAAACCTGAAAACTAAGTTGTACAACCAGTGCGTGTTGCCAGTGATGACATGGAACTGAGACGTGGTCCTTCACTGCTGGCCGTATGAGGACGCTCAAAGTCGCTCAGCGAGCTATGCTCGGAGTTTCTCTGTGTGATAAACTTAGAAATGAAGATATCCGCAGTAGAACCAGAGTGACCGACATAGCCCAAGGGATTATTAAGCTGAAGTGGCAATGGGCTGGCCATATAGCTCGAAGAACCGACAATCATTGTGGAAAAAAGGTTCTCGAGTGGCAGCCTCGTACCGGCAGGCGAAGTGTAGGGCGACCCCCCACTAGATGGAGTGACGACCTGGTAAGACATGCAGGAAGTCGATGGATGCAGGTGGATCAGGACCGTGCTTTGTGGCATACCTTGGGGGAGGCTTATGTTCAGCAGTGGACTTGTGAAGGGCTGTAATGATGATGATGATGATGATGTGTTTTTGATTACATATTAGTCCAGTATAAATTTCATCTAAAGCGTAACCTTGCCGAGTCGAGAGTAAAGCTCAACCTCTTCGCTTTACGTTCGAGGTGTGTAAAAAATATATTTTCTACTTTATTAGGTGCTCTTCTGATCTCTCATTTCTGTGTTGGAACTGAGTTGAAATTATTTGTTACATAGTGTCATCATTATTGAGAAGTAGCGTTTTGAACAAGTTTTTCGATTGCTACATTATCACAAAACAATTCATATTTTTGATTACTTACAAATTTTTAACTCTTTTTTAAATTCTTCTACTTTTGGGAATATTCGTAGTATATTTATCTATTTCTAGTCTCATCATCATCATCATCATTACAGCCCTTCACAAGTCCACTGCTGAACATAGGCCTCCCCCAAGCAATGCCACAAAGCACGGTCCTGAGCCACCTGCATCCATCGACTTCCTGCATGTCTTACCAGGTCGTCACTCCATCTAGTGGGGGGTCGCCCTACACTACGTCTACCGGTACGAGGCTGCCACTCGAGAAACTTTTTTCTCCATCGGTTATCGGTTTTTCGAGCTATATGGCCGGCCCGTTTCCACTTGTGCTTACTAGTCCGTTGGGCTATGTCGGTCACTCTGATTCTACTCCGGATATCCCTAGCATAGAGCATAGCCCTCTCCATAGCTAGCTGAGCGACCTTCAGCGTCCTCATACGGCCAGCAGTGAAGGACCACGTCTCAGTTCCATAGGTCATCACTGGCAACACACACTGGTTGAACAATCTAGTTTTCAGAGTTTGAGGTATACCTAACGAGAAGATGTGTCGTGATTTCCCGAACGCTGCCCAGCCAAGTTGAATCCGCCGATTGACCTCTCGGTCGAAGTTGGACTTACCTAGTCGGACTATTTTTCCCAGGTAAACGTATTCGTCAACAACTTCGAGCATAGTGCTCTCAACAACTACTAGCATAGTTGT